ACGAGGCCCCGAAAGAAATGGTTTGTTGAATTTTGCTGCGCGGAAAATAGTTCTTGTTGCCGTGTTGCCGAAGCATGTTCAATACCGTATCTTGGACTCACTAAAGATTTTGGGGATTTGATGGACCCGCTAGTCATGGACCAAATCGTGTTTTGGTTTCAGGAACTCATATCCAAAGGGGAAGCCGTTGACCTTTGGGGATCCATTCCCTGTGGCCCCTACTCACCCCTTCAAAATTTGAACAAGGCAGTTCAGGGTGAATCGTACGATGAGGTTCTTAAAGAGAAACGTCGTGCCACCCAGATCCTCCATGAACATTTCATGAAGCTTGCCGGCCTAGCTCTGGAATCGGGGGGGTCGTCGTCGTTCGAATGGCCTCTCAGGAATGGTGGATGGGATGAAGATTTCATTGTCCACATGATTGTTCTACATCAAATGTATTCTTGCTATCCTTCTGGTTGCGGTATGAGACTTGAGGTTGAGGGGAAGCATCCACTTAAGGAATGGCGCGTTGTGACTACTTCCAAACGGTTGGCTGCTCATTTGGATCGTTTGCGGTGTAGTCATCCACCCGGTCACAAGCACGACCCTATTGAAGGTGGATCTATGGCTAGAAAGTCTGGCATATACAATACCAAAATGGCTGTAGCTATTCTCTCCGCTTTGAACCCAGCTGCTGCGTTTCAGGATGTTCCCCACCTTCCAACCGTCCATGGAACAAGCGCCCACCAGGAAAAGGGATTGTGGATGGCTCAGCTTGCGTTCGGATTAATCCACGCGCCGCTGACACGAGTGGAATTGCTGAATCACCCAGAAGGACGGGCTAATCATGGATGAAGCCAACGAAATGCGTGGTATGGAAGTTTGGGATGAGGGCGACATGCATGAGGTAGACGATTTGAAGTGCAGTGCCCGCGAAACTGGTGAGACCATTCATATGGCAGAAATGATGGCCATTGGATCCATCAAATCTGCAGAAACAGCGGCCAAGGCCAAGCTTAAGGTCGGGCTGGTCTACAGAGGTGACGATACTCGCGACCAAAACGGACAGATGGCATTGCTTCGCGATCTGAAGTCTCTCCAGCCTCAGTAACCATAAACCTGGTTCTCTGGTTTGGAATGAGGACAGGACATGGAGTTAGAATAGCGGAATTCTCCCAAAGGAAATTTGGAAGCCTCAATGGTTCAAGGTCTACCGCCGAGTAGCGGCCCGACTCAAGAAAGCCCTTTACGGGCACCCAACTAGCGGGGATGACTGGTCGGTGTACTTTGACGACGCGCTTGTTTCAAAACTGCAGGGTCAAAGGGTTGAATCGTTTCCATCTTTGTGGTGGTTTCCATCTCTTGAGCTGTTAGTGGCTGGCTATGTGGACGACATAGTGGCTGCCGGGCCCATGCAGTCCATGCAGACGTTTTGGGATGAGTTGCAAAAATATGTCACTGTTGACACCATAGAGGAACCTGGAAGGTATTTGGGTAGAGACCATTTGATTTTTGATTTCCATGGGGGTAAAAGGGTCTTTCTGCACATGACAGATTACGCAATCTCATCGGTCCAATTGTATGAAGATCAGTTCCATAAGACATTGAAGGTTTATGAGACACCCTTTGTCACGGAGTCGGTCCTTACGGTCGAAGGCTACGAGCAGTCAGGGCAGTTGGCGCAAAGCGCAGCACAGCTTCTCATGAAGCTACTTTGGCTAGCTCGGCTAGCCAGGCCGGATATATCCTATGCTATAACTGCGTTAGCTGGTTATATATCAAAATGGACCAGAAACCATGATCTCATGCTGTGTAGGTTGCTCGGTTATGTGAAAGGGACCACAAGCTTTGGTCTCTATGGATCTGTTTCTTCTGGTCATGAAATCCCTCGCCTCCATTTGTTTGCCGATGCGGACCTGGCTGGGGATCCATTGTCCATGAAGTCTCATAGCGGACATTTCGTGATCTTGAGAACTGCCGAAAACTCCTTCCCACTCATGTGGGCATCTAGACGTCAGGGTTGTGTTTCTCGAAGCACAACAGAAGCAGAAATTGTTTCTGCGTCAGTGGTTGTTTTTGAGGAAGGTCTCCCACTTAAGACAGCGCTCGAACTCATCACCTCGTCGCAGATCGATACGATCCTCCAGGAGGACAACTCGGCTGTCATCTCCATACTAAGGTCAGGGTATAGCCCTAAGTTGCGGTCATTAAACCGCACGCATCGCATCAGTGTGGCTGCGTTGGCTGAAGTCTTCCAACAAGGTCTGATCGAAGCTGAACTTACCCCCACTAAGGAGCGGCTAGGTGACATTTTCACCAAACCTCTCGGAAGAATGCTCTTCCTGGCGGCAAGAGACTCGATTGGAGTCGCGGCTCCTCCACAAACCTAAAAGGCTAGACCCAGCGCTCTGCGTGGGCTACCAAGGAATGGGCCGCTGCTCCTCTTCACCTTGTTCTGCGCAGCTGTGCCCGCGCCCCTTTGGCTAACCAGCTGCTGCGCTCAGCTGCCTGAGTGAAATTGTCGGTGTCACCTCCCAGATATGGCTCATTCGGAACCTTTACGCCAAACTTGGTTGGCGGCCATATGTCAGTGACCTACGAGCTTTGGGCCGGGCGAAGCTCACTGGTCACTTGCTTCTAGGCATTTTGGCGCCACGACATTTGGAGGGGGGGACGAAGAATCCAGGAGCCGTTTCACCTCATTGGAGACAAGATGTCTCATGGATCTTTGGCTCAAGTCATCGAAAAGGGCTGAATCACCGAAAGTTGTGAAGTCATTCACTGGACTGAGGTGCTTCAGGGAGGTCGTTCTCATACGTTCCCTCATTCGACGCCGTTTTCACCACGTTCACCTTCAAAACACCTTGTGCGCGCAGGCCTCAACACCTCGCGGACTGTCTGCGCATGGGGCCGGTGAATTCTCACGGCGATCGATTTATTGTAGTCGTCCTCTTCAAGGTTGGAGTCTGAATTGCAGGTGGAACTTCAGCAATCCAAACTTGGCCATCTGGCCAACGCTAAGGCGTTCATTGCTGGGCCGTCGTTTGCCAGAGCAAGGCTCTCCAGCGATATGGCTTGGAGCGAAGTCATTCACTGGACTGAGGTCATGTCCCTCGCAAAGGTCGTTCTCATCAGGCCTCTCAGTCGACGCCGCATTCCTTCAAAACACCCTGTACACGCAGGCCTCAATGCCAAGTAGCGCAAAGCTAAGTATCGCCCATATTTCGCAGACTCTTCCATCGTTTCATTTCCCACCTCCTTCAGAAAGCTTCCTTCTGCGACGGGCAACTCTTCCACCATGAAAGTTGCGACAGCCGACAGTGCCATTTTCTGCCATGCTTTTTGTCCTCCAACATGGCCATGTTTGTCAGCATAGAAACGTGGACGGCGACTGTAAAGGTTCCGCTCTTCAGTTTGATCTCTTTGCTTGTTGCAGCCAGGAAGCTTTGATCTCTTCCAAAGCCAAACCTTGATTGCCCTCAGGCTCTTCTGCACATTTTTCCAGGCGAAACCGTTCCATTGGCCGCAATGAGATTCTCATCATACGTGGCTCAACAAGTTTGAGAAGGTGTCACGAGCTTGCAACTTTGTCAGTCCATCGGCCAGCGGAGCTGAGTTTCTGGCTCCTGTGGAGTTTGCGCTCTGGCATTTTTGCAGGCAAGTCGTTTGCACGCCCCGCCCACTGCCACCCTACGGAGTGCTTCTGGTTGGGGAAATTTGTTGCGCCCATGCTGGGCGCATGTTTTGGGCATAAGCTATGCCCATGTGGTGGTTGGTTTGGTTGGCGCTCGAAGTTCTCCTACCACAGTTGTCCACATACGAGTCGCTGGTAAAAAAGAGTGCGTGTTGCCGCGTTGGCGTGCCTGGCTGCTTTGGGGGGATTGAGCCTACTTCCCATGTTGTTGGCTTTTTGTTTAAAGCTAGACTGACTATTGAATCAGCCCCGATTCAATAAGCAGGACAAACAAAAAGGGCCCCATGAACCGGCCCTTTTGGCCAAGGGCTAATTTTTTCGCCCACTGTGTCGAGAACCTAGCTTTTCTGGCGGGCGTTGGTGCATTCCACCTTCCCGGGCACCGTGAATGCGGCGCGGCGCGTGTGCAAATATGAGACACGCCGTATCTGGCCATGTCGAAGAAGCACCGGGCCTAAAGGATTGGTTTGGTTCGGTTTCTGCCTGCCCCCTTCTTTCATCCCCGGGTGGCCGATTCTCCTCGCCTGGTGACTGGTGAGCGATTTGGTTCGGTTTCCCCCTGCTGCCTTCTCTCCTCCTCCGCCTGATTCGGGTTGGTTTGGTTCTGTTTCCCCTTGCGCTGAATCTGCGTGCTTTGCTACCTTGATGACCGATTCCTGGCGACCGACTCCTTGCAACTAATTCCACGGCTGCTTCCCGGCGACCGATTCGGACATTGTCATGACCGATTCCGGTGTTTTGGTGACCGATTCCTGGTTCCCTATTTGGGCATCGTGGTGACCGATTCTGGTGTTCGAATCGGGCCTTGTGAATCTCTCCTGCCCTAAGAATCATTGGACCTTCCTATGGAGGGTTTTGACCCTGCATAGCAGGGGTTTGGACCCTCAAAACCTTCACCTTTGAAGGTCCTTGATTATTAGGGTGGAAAGTCAGTTGCGTGGCGGAATGACATCGCCCTGTGGAATCTTTATAGTTAAGTTAAGTGTGATCAAGCGGTTGGCAACATTTGTGTGGTTAGTGGTTGGGGGATGATTCCGGTTCATTATCGTTCGCGTACAAAGTTTAGGGCAATTTTTATATCATTGCACCCCGGCAACATTGACCTTAGGTCTTAGTGTTAGGTGCATATTTCCACTGACCTATCTACTCGTGATGAACTATTCCATTTAGGTGGAAAAATATCCGCTGCCGCCGAGGAAAGGAGTAGGTGGTTGTTGCAGTGTTTTTTGGATTTCATTGAGTCCTTGTTGGCACAATTCTTGAGGTTAAATGAATCATAATGAATCCAAGTGCGATCAACTTCAGTTGCGTTGCAACCGCGTAGGCGTCCCACGTCCAGCTCATCGAAGATGAAGCTGTGGTGGAACCCCTAGCTTAGCAAATATCCGATCCTTCATGAAACAGAAACATAGTGAACGAACTTTAGTTGAACGTTACTTCTTTTAGAGCAAGAATTAGAATATTGAAAACTTCTGGCGACTCTGAGGTGAACTAGACTTTGTAACAGTTCGATTGTTCGGCTCCAGTGATCTTCAAAGGCCCGGATTGCCCACTATGCCATTGGATTAGTTCTGTCCAAGCTGAGCTCCAAGACGCGGTCCGCGCCCTGAGCTTTACTGAACCTTGGAAGAGATTTTGTTTCGTTAGCAGGATCTGTTGAACTTTGGTAGACATGACATGAAAGCGTGGAATAGCATGAATTGCTTGGTCTTGTCAGGTCAAGAGTTATTCGAGGAGGTCCGGATGCAGCTCTGCAAACTTTGGGTAAAGAGATATTGTCGGACTCTTGGAATTTTGTGCGACTTGAGAAGCACAGCAAAGTTCTTTGCAATACGAGACATGCCAAGAAATTTCCATCGTGTTCTTTGGACAGGTGATAAAGGATCTCTGTAGGATGCTGTTTATTTCTTTTCTGCTATGAACCAGTTGCAATTCAGACGCGCAAAATCTCACAGGAGAGAAGGCGGTTTCTTTCCGAAATATAGTTCGAGCATTGTTCTGCATTGGAATCTGTTCGAAAGAAAGCAGAACTTTGCGCTTTCTTTCGGTGGGGGGAATTGAGGAGTTTTCTTTTGACTATAAACTTTACATGTCAACGCAGGACATGTTATCATCAGGTGTTTGTAGTTTCTTAGTAGCAACCTTTTAGACACATGACATTAAATGCGTAACATCAAAACTGAATCACTCTCCGGAGGCCATAGACGTCTCTGTTTTATAATAGGCATATACTGGTTCAGTGTATTATGTATTTGGTCATTTTGTTAGGTTGATGCACTCGCTCTGCGAGGCCTGACTTCCTTGGAGGTCAGCGCAATTCAGTCGGTGAGTTTTCGGGTTGGCTAGAGCCCGGGTGCCTGGATCCCTTGAATTCCTTGATTGTTTCCGTAAGATTTACAAGAAGTAGCTGTTGTGGCTCTGGTGATGGCTTCATTGAGAAGCCGAGGCAACTCGAACTAGCAGATGCTTGTCAAATTGCAGCCTCTGCTTGTGTCGGGTCATCTGCGCTTTGACTACATACGGAAGTGGACTGCTGAGCTTCAGCTGTGGATCGTGTGTTCTCAGCTGTGTTTCCAAACCAAAACTTCACGGCTTACTAACCTAAGCTTTCAGGCTGCAAGATGAAGGTTTGTTGCTCTACAATATCCCAAAGGCGCACCGCAGACTCTGGCAGTTCTATAGTTGGAAAAGCAACTGCAACAACTGCAAGAGATTAACTTAAGTTACAATGTATTGCAAGTTCTAAGTTCTAAGACGGTGTTTGCTGACGCCAGAAAGTTAGGGTCTTACAGCATTGCTAGTGTCAGCAGGCTTGCTGACAGAGAACAAAGGAGTTGGCTCATGCTCCGAGCTGTGCTACTTGCTCGACCTTGTTGTCGTGCGATTGTTTTGCCGCTTGAGTGATGCGTGCGTGATCATAGCTTCGCAGCTTGCTGGTTCAACTCTGGCGGTGAGCAAAGGTTTGTGAAGTTGTGTTTGCTTGGGCAGCCGGTGTATTCAGCTTAGCTGGCTTCGGGTTATGTTGTTTGGCTGCGGTGGTTTATTTGGGTTCTATTAATTTTAATGTTCACTGCCCAACGATGCATCCTTGTGGATCTCCTTGCAGTGTTGTGCATCTTGGCACTTGCATAGCGCAAGTCAAGTGACATGGACTCGCTCAGCGTGGAGATATCACATGATGTCACAATGTAGATAAAAGAGGTCGATACGGGCGCGACGAAGGGATATTGCAGCCAGGCCACAGGTTGAGGAAGATACCAGCATGCGCCGGCCATGTCAGCCTCGAAACTGCGAACATCCGAGCGGATCCCTGATCAGACGCAGAAATGATTCACATCCTGGCGGTGAGAGTAGAAGTGCTGGCGAAGGCATCAAGGTCAGGCGGCCAAATCGTTGCTGTCCGGGACAACCCGGTTCATGGCTTGAACCTGGCTTTAGCAAAGCTCGGTTTGTTTTCCTTTGTGAATGTGACGCCGGGCATGACAATCTTGGAGAACCACCTGGACCACTGGGAGGTTCTGGTTACAACTTGAATTTTTAGGCAGTGAAGGTGCCTGCCGAAGTCTGATGTTTTGATATATATATATATTTTTTTTTTAACATATTGTGTTCCTGTCAGTGGCTGGCAAGTTGCTTTCAATGGAAGGTGCGGTGAAAGAACTTTTGAGAACAGTGCTTCTTTTGTGCCAGAAGAGGTTTGTCGGTAGAGGTATTTGCAATGAGAACCTTTGCAAGCCAATCCTCTTCTATGAGTCCATATGCACATGGGCGAGCTGCGCGTACGTGGCACAGTGCATCAGGCAGCAACTGGGCAAAAGCCACGTCATTGGAGCTTCAGGTCCGTCAATGCAATCCAAGCAATACCTACAAGAACAAGGAGAGACAAAAGGCCTGCAAGGGCAGACCGTAAAATTGGAAGATCCAACTATATAAGTATGGATACATGAGCTTCGCAAAAGGGCTACAGGATTTTTTGCAACTGCTCAACTGCAATGTACGTGAGGCCTCCACAATCTACAAGCTGTATCAGCTGTGCTGAGTGCATCTTCCCCACCTTAGAGTTTGCTTCACCCATAAAGCCTGCGGGCATTTGCGGGCTCTGGCGGGTGGAAGCTCCCGAATTTGCCGCCGGAGTTGTTCGGGGTTGATGGGGCATGGCGTGGACTTACTGTACGTCAACCTGTATTTTTGTTGCCCATAGGGGCTCTTTCTTCAAATTAAAGGATGGCAACAATTTATTGCAGTTTCAACGTTTTCTTGGGGCAAGCGGCAAGCGCATCCTCCCTTGCAAGATCACATGATGACAGCACGCAATTCGAAATATTGCAAGAGGTAGTGAGATCCAAGGGCAGCCTTCCCCAGCAAATCCTGCACAGCAATAGCCGTCACCTACCTGAACTATTCCCTGCGAGCTCCAGTGAAACATTTTTGCTTTGGATACTTTCAGAAATTGGCATGCCCGCTTGGATTTTGCAGGCGTGCTCAAGACCGTGTCCTGAATCGATCGCTGCTACCTCAGTCAGAATAGTTGATATATATATATATGTATATTTATGCATATAGTTATACAAACTTTTTATATACACGCATGTATATATATAACATTGCACAACTATTTAATTACTACTGTATAATATATGTTTGATATTAATATGTATGTATTACATATACACATGAACTAATTACATGTTTCTGACACAGCCAAGCCTTGGATTAGATTAGAGCTGCTTTGGACACGCTTGCGTTTGAGATATCTGGGTCTTTTGACTCTTTCTTAGGTTGCGTGCCAGCTGATGTAGCTGGAACTAGTCCAAAGCTGTTTCACTGCCTGTGACAAACAGTTTTTTGGATGCCAGAGGACAAATAAGGCTTCAGAACTCTGCGTCTTCAATTGGAGGAGCGCAGGCAGCTGCAAATGATTCATTGTGTCACCATTGAGCAAGAGACTCAGTGATTTTAGACCAGAAGGAATTTTAGAATAGCAAATGCACGAGCCCAACTTGCCACAGAATTCTTCCAACTGTGCAGACCATGTACAGAGTTGCCGGACGCGTGGCAGATTGACGTGCTTGGTTTGGTGGCGCTACTTGGCAATGGTAAGGCAAAAGACCTGCATTGGTTTCTGGGGTCTTTCGATGGAGAAGCTTCCTTGAAGAGCCTGAGCTTTATACAGTGATGAAAGTGAAGTGACTTTTTCGCTTGTGCCGATGCCATTTCAATAGGGTGGGAACAACCTATATATAGGTTCGCTGAGCTTGAGGTGAGCACTGAGCACTGTCATTTGCGTTTCATTGGTGATATGCACAAATGTTCGGTTGAACATTGGTAGCGGAGCCATCCTTGCCCCTCCATGGCAAGCGCTCGGCAACGCTGGCTGTCTATGAGGGGAGACAGCAGGACCATTCCAAGCGGGGAGGGAGACCTGGTGAGCTGCAGAGAGTTTGCCATTGAACCTGTCCAAGTCAGGTGCACTGGCCAGCGGCTCACCAGTTCGATTCCCCACAGCCAGCGACGGCGCAAAAGTGAAGAAGGTCTGGAAAGAATGTGGTCGTGCTCCATGGTTCTTTCATTGTTTCTCGTTGGCATGCCCGTGAAAATTTCGAGCAGGGAAAGGGGATATCGGATAGCAGATCCGCCAACAAAGGAGCCTGTCGGGCAGTTCCTGCAAGCCTGGACAGATGGCGTGGGATAAGAGGCGGCTTGGGAGAAAGCCAGGTGTGTGGGCGATGAGAGCGCGGCCCATGTGAAGCTGCCACTTGTGTGACTCCCTTGCCACTTGATCCGAGGCTGTCGCTTGTGCCGCTGCCTAACGCAGGAAATAGTTTCCGAAGAAAAGTGCTTAGTTACCTAAGATCACCGATGCGCTACCGAATAGAACCGTGACTGGATGGAAAGAATCTGGGTTCGCCGCCGGGCCTTAGTGATTCAAGGCGACATGCCCCCTCACCCGAACCAAAGCCAAAGGTTACCCAGTTACCCAAGCATGACACAGACCGGCGCAGTGCCCGCACAGCTGCGGCTCGGCTCAAGGGGCCTGGACGGCGTGGCGACTTCGCCGTAGGTAGTTAGTCCGGGAGTTTTCCGTGGCGCGCTCAGTGGACGCAGTTTTTGTCGGGCTTTTGACTTTTGGGGTTTGGGGACACAAACATGTTTGAGGACGCAGACAGGCATTTCATCTAAGCACGGGGTTGCCTTGCATATGGCAATGCCTTGACAGTGAAGTGGGTGATGCCGCCCGACTTACGCACGTTTTTGTTATTGTTAACGGTGTCAGGCTGGCGGAAACATTCAACGAAGAGAAACGTTTTGTATTGGTTTGCGTGCCGCAGTGTTTCGTCCACAGCAGCCTTTGTTTTCCTTTCTATAGTCCCACGCGTGGGCATCTGACAAATGCCCTAAAGTTCCTTTTTGTCCGACATCACAGTCTTGCAAACCTGAAATGCTCTGCAAATGGGGTTTCAGTTACCGCCTCCTTGGTCCTTGTCCATGGTTGTTTGAAACTGAGTGGTTCAGGTTTGGTTGAAAAAGGTCTGCATTTGGAGTCATCAAACCCTCTCGGTAAAAACATATATGTATGTATGTATGTATTATATATATTATCTATATGTGTATGTACACATAAAATGTTTTCAAATTTTGAGTGGACACATATGCCGACAGTGGCATAGCCTGGACGTTGCGTGAACTAAACAGAGGCATCGATAAGCTCAACTTCACAGACTCCTTGACAGCAAACAGTCATTTCGACTGTATTACGTTTGCGGTTTCTAGCTCCCAAGCGCGACACTGGACATTACCATTTTGCACTTGCACTAATTACACCAATTGACAGTTTCCTATGTTGAGCTCCGGTTCGAAAACATCGTGCTTCCTGCGGTTTCTATATGTTACTTTTCCCGAATGCGTAGCGAAGGGTTCTCGTTTAACTCTTGGGGGTCTGGGGGTGGAGCCTTGTTCGTGACCCGTTGTTTCTACGTCCGCAACCGTCCGCAACCGTTCGCAACCGTCCGCAACCGTTCGCGGTAGAGCGCTAAGGCGCTGCCATTGGGGGAAGCTTTTGCAAGTGACTTTGCATGGATGTGTCACGTGTCAGTTTGCGCCGCTATTCCATTGTGATTTGCATGACAATGACATGTCGCGCAAGAAATGTGATGCATTTCGCTGCACAGGCGCAGCGTTTTGTGAGATCCGCAGATTGGGGCGCAGTTCCATTGGGATTAGCGTTTGGAGAGTCGTGTTTTTGGGGTGTTGGATGTGGCCGTGCCATTGGGATTTGCGTTTCAGTGTGTGGCATCGAAGCTCGGTTTTCGTGACAAGTCTCAGCTGAAATGCCGATTTTTGGTGGATGGGAGTGTGCTCAGAACGGGTCGAAATCATTTCAAACGTGTGGTGTGGTGCAAATTTGTGAGGTGTGACGGAGGTGACATTTCGAGGCAGGCGCAGTACTTTGTGCGCGTTAGACGTGTGGACGCGGAAAGATTCGTGGCAGGCGCAGGGAATCGTGAGGTTGTGAGTAGAGGTGAATGTCGCTGTCACATTGGGATTGGCGTGTGAGCGGATGTTGTTTGGAGGGGCTGGAATCGCGAAACTGCTTGGCAGGGCTGCGTGATGTGTATGTGTGTGCTCCGATGGGTTTTTCCGCTTGGCTTTTGGAGGAAGTCTCGTACGAAACGCTCGTTTTGCAGACTTTGACGTGTGAGTTTTTGAGGAAGTCTCGTACGAAACGCTCGTTTTGGAGACTTGACGTGCAACCCTCTGCGGAGATCGTGCGTGTCGAGTGTGCGAAATGCAGGCGAGAGTGCGATTTGTCCCATGCGCGCGCAACCCTCTGCGGAGATCGTGCGTGTCGAGTGCGCGAAATGCAGGCGAGAGTGCGATTTGTCCGGCGCCGGAAGCTGAGAACTGGCGACCTTGTAGTACAACTTTAGTACACGGAGTATCTGGGGAGCTGGAAGAATGTCCCACAAGAGTGTCCTACAAGAGTGTCTCACTAGAGTGTCCCACAAGAGTGTCCCACAAGAGTGTCCTACAAGAGTGTCCAACAAGAGTGTCCCACAAGAGTGTCTCACAAGAGTGTCCCACAAGAGT